TTTAGGGAAGGGTCAACAGGGTGTTCAGAGTCTCACTACTAGATAGGACTTGTAGTGATCCACCTCTTTACAGCCTCCCAAGAGCTGGGATTTCAAGTGCGTGCCATCATGCACAATCTCAATTGCTGTCTCAGTGTGCCCCGAGGGTGGGGCCAGGATGGAAGGCTTGGGGATTGAATCCCTGGCCCCTGCACCTGCTGGTAGTAGGCACTTTAATCCACTGAGCTATTTGGCCAGCCCTTAATTCTTTATTTTCTTGACACATATTTCATTCTAAAAAAATTTATTTATTTGGTACAGGGTCTGGCTATGCAGGTCTGACTCACAATGATCCTCCTCTTGCAGCCTCCCCAGCATTGGGATTACAGGCATGTGTCACCACGTTGGGTGTCAGTGGCCTGCACAACATGGGACCTGCACGGCATGCAGTACCAGGGACTGAATCTGGGTCCTTGCTCTTACAAAGCAAGTGCTTAGACAACTGAGCTATCTTCCCAGCCCGACACATATTTGTCTGTCTGTCTGTCTGTCTGTCTTTCTTTCTTTCTTTCTTTCTTTCTTTCTTTCTTTCTTTCCTTCCTTCCTTCCTTCCTTCCTTCCTTCCTTCCTTCCGTCCTTCCTTCTTTTTTAAATTATTTGGTACACGGTCTCACTACTCAGCTTGGGCTCAGTAATCCTCCTGTTTTCAAGCCTCCAGTGCTGCGATTACAGGCGTGTGGCATCATGCCTGTTCTCAGTGGCTAGCTTGACACATCCAGGGGCAGGGCCTGTATAGCATGTGGTGCTGGGGATTGAACTCTGGTCCCAGCATTTGCCCTAGCAGGTGCTTAATCCACTAAGCTATCTTGCCAGCCTGTGACACATATTTTTTTTTTCCGATAATTTTATTGATAAACAAATAGCAATGAGACAGTTGCAAATCAAATCGGCAGGACAGTTTCAACAATCAACAGACTGCATACATTCTTCCTACTGGTTAATTGCTGTACAAGATGCGGACGTGAGGCCAGGGAGATGGCTCAGTAGAATAAGCGCTTCCTTGGCAAGCGCAAGGGTCTGAGTTCAATCCCCAGTTCCGCCAAAAAAAAAAAAAGATGCGGACTTGATATCCTATTTACAAACACCATTAGAACAAATCATTCTATTCATTAAGAGAATGTAACTATATATCTATCCAAACCACTTTGAATACAC